AGGACAGAAGAGTCAGCTTGCCACTAGAAGGAGCTGGTAGGCCCGGTGCCAGGAAGGAGCTCAGGGCACCATGCTCTCTCCTGCTCAAGGATGACGAAGCCGGTGGTCAGGGTCAGTGGGACTGGGAGTGACAACAAGTGTCTGGCCATTGCAAAGGCCTCTGAGGTTAAAGGCATCACAATTCCACTGGTGCCACCATGATTTTCCAGTGTTGGGTCCCACACTGGACTCAACAATCTGTGGTTGATAGTGTCGCCATGGGACTGGGGTGGAGGAGTGACCCAATGCAGGTTGCACTCCACTGCCTTCCTCTTGCTTGCCTTTCTTCGGCACCTGCGAGAGCCCTCTGTCAGCGTGCTGCTTTTTCTACTTCTCTTTCGGCACCAGAGATATGCTTCACACTGAGGCTTAAGTGCTTGGTGTTGAAGCCGAGTGGCTTGGTTCCGAAGCCAGTCTAAGAGCAGCTCCCATTAAGATAGCCTTAAGTCTGATTACTTTGTCCTTTGTGCAAAGTTCAAAGTCCCAACAAATTTGGTAGCAGTCTTTCATGTAAGATTCTCCCAGACACTTCAGACAACTAGAGTGTGGGTCGTTCATGGGCATAGGCTTGCCACAGGAGGCACAAGATTTGAAACCCAGGGACTGGGACATGCCTGCCCCAGGGGCGAAGGGAGCCCCTTAATGTTAGGGAAGGGGTACTAATCTACAGTAAAAGTATTTACAAGATATACACCAGGAAGATGCTCTTCAGGATATGGACTGTCCCTTAGCATGTTTGTATAGCATCTAACATGATGAGACCCCAATCCTAGCTAGGTGCTACTATAATAAAGTTGTATTAACAAACAATATGCTCCATTAAACCACCAATATCTTCAATTCTGTCAGATTAATGAAAATCCCATTGATTTGGCCTAAATTTACCCAAATTAGATAAATGCTATATTAAGTTTGCCATTTCTAATGTTATGGTGAATCCAATGGGAAGGTTCAAATTTGGGAAGATAGGCAGGATTGTTCGTTTTTTACCCATACTGCTATATCAATACAACCACTTGTACAAGTCAGAAGAGGTGCCCATAATAAAACAGCTCATTAAAATGAAAATATTATTACATCTGGTAGAAATCCAACAGCAACCATTCCGATGACAGTTATGAAATAGCTTCAGACATTTCTGATTTAATTATGACAATTTCTGGCCCTTATTCATTTGCCTTAACCCCTGTAGTTAAGGTTGCATAACAATTTATCTTCTAGCCTCCTGTGCTCAGTCATTCATAACTTTCTAAAACTTTTCAACTATTGAGCTAAATTTTTCCAGGCTTGACCTCTGCCCCAAGGTGAATTTCTATATAAAAATGAGGGGGAGTCTGAACAAAAACGGTATCGCAATTATGGAGTTCTAAGACAGTGGGGGAGGGGAAGGAGAAGGCAGAAGAAACCCAACGTTTCCGATTTACTTTATTTTTAGGATGAGCCCTACATGGACAAAATGGCTAAAGTGTGGAAGGTGAAATACAGCATAGGAAAAATAGCCCTGATCCTTTACTAAGAAGCAATGCCTTTCACTGTTCTGAAATAAACTGGCTCAATTTGTCCAAAGTATTTGCCATTGAAAATCTCATAGTAAGTATAAAGTAGAATTTTTTCCCCACAGCTCAAAAAGTACCCCCCAAAAGTTGCATACACCTGCACAGCAAATCCTAACAGGGTGAAGCATGGGGTCCAGCACTCCCCCTCCTATCCTCCAATGGCTGCTGCTAATACTGGGGACAGGAAAAATAAGCATCTCCATGGCTTTCCTCCTCCTCAGTCTCGCTAATGAGTTCTACAGTTACTGGCCTTGTCCCTTGCATTACATTTTAAGACAACTGTGCTACTGGTTGAAGAAAAAGGGGGAACGTGACACTGACCTTAGAGAAGAGAACTTACCACAAAAAGTCTAATTCAAAGATATACTGGACCCTCATGGCAATACAATTAACACAAGTGTAAAAACAAAAATATTTCATTAGGATATGTGTGTATATATGATAAAGTATTATAAAAAAATTTCTACTTGATAATAATGTAATCATGTAATTAAAAAGACTGTTGTAATGAATATACAAAACAGGACAACATTCAGGTTGCATTTATTGTACTGAGTGCTTAACCATGCAATATGTATGTTCTCTTAAATACTGCAAGTATCTAGAAGCTTTTTAAAAAGTTGTATCAAATACTTTAAAATAATTTTTAAAAATTATAGATATATCTACTAACTCTAATTCTTTTTGATGTCTTGCTACTTTTACAGGGAAGACATATGGACTTATAATGTGCATACTGTAAGACCTCTTTCCTTGGGGGGGAAGGAGGGAGTATTAAAGGTCTGGAAATTATCTAATGTAAAGCCTACTTGGGGATCACACTTATTGTTATTTTTAAGTTAGTAATTGCTTCTTGAAACTGATCCAGTAAAGAGATTTATTTTCATCTCTATTAAAGTAATTTGGCTGTTTCTGGCAACTCTGGTCTGGTGTTCACAGCAACTTTTGAGTGCAATGACAACAGGACAGCTGCATCCAGAATCATTAAGTAGTTCTGGTTCTCTGTTCCTTTGCAGCCGTGCTCTGGCAGCCAAACAAGAAGTGAAAGGTTTTCTACAGTCAGTGTTAGAAAGTGTGTTCCAGGAGATAAAAATCTCCATGCTATTTTTCAAAGAACAGTGAATTGTAATGGGAGTTCTCTGCTGTGGTGAAGTATTTGATATGGGTATAGAAAAAGGAAATAAAAGCGGCATATTCTTAAGACAAGAATTATTGTCATTAACAGAAGTCAACCAGCTAGGACTAGCTAAGTTAAAACCAACTAGTGAGTTAGGACATTCATCCTCTATATTTCAGTGAAAGCAGACTATTAAAGTATTTATATTTAAATTGATTTAAATGGGCAGGTCATTTGATGATGCAGAAAAAAAAAAAAAAGAACAAATTCAGATTCACTTTGGAAATGCAAACTCCCCTGAAGAAGGGGAAGTCAGCAGAATTGCAAACTGCATGGATCCCAAGGATCCATGAGAAAAGGAGGGCACAAACCTTGTCAATTACTTTCTCCTCTACTACTATTGGCCTTATGGTGGCAGTAAAGCTCTCTTTGAAGCTATGGTATCATTGGCCAATCTCACTGCAGTTGCATCTTAACTCCCTTTTTCCAGAAGCCATAGAGGTGAGTTGGAAGTTATTCCTACTTCCATTAAGTTACTATGTAGATTTCCACCCAAGTCTTCCAAGTTAGGAGGCCTACCACGGCAATTTGCCATTCCCTCATTCCTCTACCTCTTGGCTGTTGCCATTACTTTATATAAACTCTTTCAGTGGCTCAGAGGGAGCAGGCCACTTATTTCCCCCTTCTGCTCACTAATCCTTCGTCTCAGCTTTCCTGCTAAAATTCTTTTTTTAAGGGGCCTGTAAGTTGCTGTCTCCAGCTCACTATTGGTCATAAATTATGTGGTGTTAGCAGCATTCTATTAACATGAATATATACACACAGTGCATTCAAAAATATCCCACCAAAACAACTTTGCCTGATGTTGTGCATCAGGGAATTCAATAAATGTCGCCAGAATGGCACTTCAGTTTGTTAGATAGCTACATTTCTACATTGAAAAATAAATGAAACAATGCTCATAAGTTTTTACCAAATAACCAAAATTGGGAATGCTCTCTAAAGGAAATTAAGATAAGTCAGTTTGGGGTGTTCATCCTGTGGGACAAAACCATTTTGCCCTTCCCATATTAATAAAAAGGAGGAAGGTCAGACCAGGGATAGTCCAAGTTCAACAGGTTTTCAAAAATGTGTCATGATTTTCTGTGCAAGTTCCAATTCATAAGTAGTATCAGTGGCAAAACACACACACAAAACAATCAACCAAAAAGGCACCTGTGCCACCACTGTAAGAGTGAACGAGGGCAGCTGTCCGTGATGTGTCGCATGGTTTGTACCTCACCACAGTCACAATTTAGTGATTCTCTGATTTTCCATTTGTGGAAGAGATACCTACACCTTCCATATGCTGTCTGAATGCAGTCCACTGCCTATGAGGAAGGCAGAATCCTGGGACTTTTCGTTGGATCTTCAATCAAGTCTTTGTTTGGGACATCACAAGCGGCCCATGATTCAAGCCAGCAAGTGCTAGCATCCTATATCTGTTACATGGACACATGGAGCCAGAAAGGCTTCCTGGATTTGAGATGGGAGAGTGGCAGTGAATTGAGGTCTTGGTGTATCAGCAGGTCCGGAGCAGCCAGGATCTTCTTGTACTCCCAGATCACAGGAGTGTCTCACCTGATGTTGGCAGGTGCAATGCCCGCCAAAACTGGGAACAATGGTATTGGCATTGATTTGAGAGATTTAAGATTCCTATAACAATGATTAAGATGGGAAAAATCCTACTTTCTCCATGTTTTTCACTTTGTATGTTTTACAGCACTATGTACATTGTGTCACACTCTCTCATGTATAATTAGTTTTCCCTGTTTGTGGGAATCTTTCCCATGGCAATTTGGGAGAGAAACATTTTTATTTCTTTTTAAAAAGAAATTAAGTGTGACCGTAAGTAAAAAAAACCTACAAAAACTGGCCAGGGGAACTCAGGTGTAGTAACTAAAGTTACATTTTAATAAATTTTTAATGACTACGTCCCATTCAAATAAAGTATTTTTATCTTGAAGAATGTTATATTTAAAGCTATGCTACAAGAAATTTTTAAAAACTCTTACACAATGTAAGCGTACCATATACATGAAAGGTGATATTACATGTATCATTCCCAAACTAACGAGAAATTGAAATTTACTCCCATCTAACATTTTAATGTAATGCCACTGGATGGAACTGTATGAATAATATAAGCCAAAAATCACTTCATAAAAAACACTCTCCCCCCTCAGGGGGCATTGCTTTACTAATAAATATCAGTACTACTTAAAAAAAAAAAAAAAGGCAAATTCACATTTTATTTTAGATTGAAATAAAACTATACAAAATTGTTTACTTTGTGCCAAAAATAACAGCAATACTTTCCAAGTCACTTCTGGACAAACAACAAACTTATTTCTAATTTTTCCAGGGTATGTTTACAAATAAAGATGGGAGGCAATAGATACACTTTTGTGTAACAGTAAAGACAAAAACAAATAATTTTAGATGCTTATGGAATAAATTTTACAGTCAGTATCTTTCAGGATTTTAGATTTAATATTCAATTCATACCTGTTAAAAGCGTAAAAAGAAAAAATAGTTGTGCGGCTCACACAAAGGAATGTAAACAATACAATCAGGTGATTGAGAAAGGCTAGCTCTTCCACTGAAACCTTAACGTACCTTCACACTCACTGATATTCACTTGATGTGGAGAACACAGTCCACAGTGTGATGACTGTGATAGAAGAATACACTCTCCACTAAGTTATTCAAATATACCATTTCCATATTTTTTAAACAGTTTCCAAATAAACCAAAAATCCTAGTAGTAACTGGTAAGCAATGGATTTCATTCTACCTTGTTTTCCTGCATTTTTTTATGCATAAGTATGAAACAACTCCATAGGATCCACAGTGATCATAAATTACTTTTCCAAAATGACACAACAAAAAATGAGCACCTAGTCATGCCAATCAGATGAAGCGTTTGAGAACTGTCTTTGTGAAGCACACTTGTTTATTTTCAAAGGTGTTTTTGTTCACATAATAGTAATTTAATGTGGATCAACGGAACAGAACTTGTGTTACTGGTCACTGCTTCTTCAATCTGAGGTCTAAAATGGAAATACAATTGTAATGATTAAGTAGATTACATACATTTTATAGTTTTCCTCTTGATATTAAAGTCTGAATAGAAAAACTGTTTCAACAAACTGATTAAAGATTTTTTTTCTAAGCATCTTCAGTTACTTCTGAATTGTTTGAGGGAAGAAAGTCTTCTTGAAATTCTACTTTGTCTGGATAGAGTTTGATATAGGTGTCCACCATTAAATCCAAGTCATGTTTTATATCAAAGTTTATATTAAGCAAAGCTAAGTTGCTTGACCTCTGTTCTGTCAAGGTGTTTTTCAGGTACGCCTTCAAGCGCTTTCGTCCTACTTCATATTTCTCATTCTCCACTTTCATCACTGGAAGGATGCACAGAACTTTAAGCAATGCATACACATTAGGGAAAAACTTTATGTCAGGCAAATGAAGTGCTTCATAAATGGTAGCTGGAAGCTCAATATCTTTTCCTCTATGCTTCCATTTGATTCTCCAACAATGAAGTTCTGCACAGAGTGTATCTGGATTAGGTAGGTCATTTTTGTACATATCAGCATGATGTTCCTCAGACGTATTAAATTTTAGTTGTCCCATGACTGAGGGCACTAAAGATAAACATTTAAGAGCTCTTAGGTGTTGTTCTGAGAATATATCTTTTAATTCCTGAATAATGTGCTCTACAGTTGGAACACTAAGTGCTTCTTTGTAGTAATTTTCTGATGTTACATCAGAGTCCAAACTACCTTGCTGTGCCCTGCGAAATTTTCCAGGGAGTTTAATTTGTACATCTAGCTTTGTGGCCAAATTTGTTGCTTCTTCAAACCAAAATTCATGATAAACTTCAATATTCTCCATCACTTCATTCAGCGAATGCAACACTGCTGTTAAGCTGCTGGCTGCAAAGAACACATCTGATGTTTGGCCTTGGAGATTTTTTCCAAAGGCTCTTGTAAAAGACAGAATGTTTTTCAGAACTACAACAGTGACGATGAAGTCAAAATCTGTTAATGCACTTGAAAGTACAAATGCTCGTCCAACAACGAAGTTACTCCACCTGACAGACACATCACTGCTTATACCATCCAAGCACAGTACCAGTGCTTGCATTAGGTCCACTAAAATCTCAAAAGTATCATGTCTACCTGTCCACTGAGAATGGCAAATCTCTTTCAGTTCATTACTCTTTTCCTCACTGTTCTGAAAAAGAACAGAGATTATGTTGTCCAGTTCTACTAACAACTGTGGTGACTGATTAAAAAACGAACAAACTTCTTCTATCGTCCCTAGAGCGATAGAAACGCCAACGACAGGGACTGATTTTGCCAACCATACATTTAGAGCACAAGAGGAACAGAGTGTGTACACAGCTTGTGGATACTTTTCCAAGAGTCTTGTAGCTACAATTTTCATTTTTGAAGCAAATCCACTGGAGACAATATAGGCTTGACCTCGACAGTACTCCATGTTTAGACCCCATTTTTCAATAATAGTTGTATGGAACTTAACAGCTAAAATTTCAGCATCTGCCTCATAAGGCAAAAACCCTACAAATTCTTCTCTCAGATTGTGGGACTCATCAACAAACCTGACCAACACTGGTAAGTGCTCCTCACCTGCTATATCTACTACCTCATCAGTGACAATGGAAAAGAAGTGGGAGTCTCTTACTTCCCTGAGCGTCTCTTCTCTTACACAGCTCTCACAGATCTCAAGCATCTGTTTCTGTTGCGTTTTAGAACAATACTCCAGGTTTACTGCAGCCATCTCAAATCGTTTTCTCAGAACCTCATCTCCAGCATTTATTCTGCATTCCAACAAAGCTTGAAAATTATCTGGGGTGAAGATACCTTCTGGAAGTTCATTAGCATTATGGCCATCCAAAGGAATATTTTGTTTGCCCATGAGGATCAAAATTTCAAATAAAGATTTAAGGTAATCTTTGTTTTCCCTCTCTTCCAGCGTTAAAGGAACAACTTCCTCTTCTTGCTCTTCTCCTCCTTCTTCTGAAACAGTGTTCTGAGCACTGCTCTCATTCAACTCTTGATTTGCCTGTTCCCGTTCAAAGGCTTCATCAACTACAAAATAAAAGACATCACAAGCCTAAGACTTCTTCATATAGAAAGTTTGCTGCATTTACTTCCCCCACTACAACTATATTTATACAATTGCCGACTGGAAAATCCATAGTATTTACAATTTAATTAAACAGTGTCAGTGTGGGGCACTATTTGTAATATTATTGGACAGAATTAAAGTGGTTTCAGAGTAGTAGCCGTGTTAATCTGTATCTGCAAAAAGAACAGGAGTACTTGTGGCACCTTAGAGACTAACAAATTTATTTGAGCATAAGCTTTCGTGGGCTACAGCCCACTTCTTCGGATGCCTAGAATGGAACATATATTGAGGAGATATATATACACATACAGAGAGCATGAAAAGGTGGGAGTTGTCTTACCAACTCTGAGAGGCCAATTAAGTAAGAGGAAAAAAAACCTTTTGAAGTGATAATCAAGATAGCCCAGTACAGACAGTTTGATAAGAAGTGTGAGAGTACTTACATGGGGAGATAGATTCAATGTTTGTAATGGCTCAGCCATTCCCAGTCTCTATTTAAGCCTAAATTGATTGTATCTAATTTGCATGTCAATTCAAGCTCAGCAGTTTCTCGTTGGAGTCTGTTTTTGAAGCTTTTTTGTTGCAAAATTGCCACCTGCAGGTCTGTCATTGAATGACCAGACAGGTTAAAGTGTTCACCTACTGGTTTTTGAATGTTATGACTCCTGATGTCAGATTTGTGTCCGTTAATTCTTTTGCGTAGAGACTGTCCGGTTTGGCCAATGTACGAGGCAGAGGGGCATTGCTCTACCTAACCTTACTGTACAAATTAAAAATAATGTACCATATATACTCATTCATAAGCCGAATTTTTTTGGTAAAAAAGGGAAGCACCAGAGAAGGGGGTTGGCTTATGAATGGGTATAGAGAGGGAGAGGTGGGACATAGCCCCTCCCCCCAACAGAAGAAACAAGGAGAGGCAGCACAGCCAGCAGAGCCAGAAGTGAAGAGACGGGGCCAGAGTCTCTCCGCTTCTAGCCACGCTGCTCTCCACCCAGCCTCCGAAGCAGCTGCAGTTCTGGGGCAGGCTGTGGCTGCGCCGCCCAGCCCACTGGAGCACACTGCGGCCGTGTCGCCCGGCCCAGCCTGTTGGAACATACTGCGGCCACGCCGCCCAGTCTGGCCCGCTGGAGCAGGCTGCGGCCGCACTGCCCAGCCTGCCGGAGCAGCTTCAGCCAGGCCAGAGACATCCTCCTCTGGCCCTCCCCAGATAAGGTGGGAAGGGATGGGATGGGGAGAGTGTGGGGGTCCCAGGCTAGGGGTGGGGTCATGTGGGGGTTGGTCACAGGGGTTACTCCTCTGACTCCCAGCTTCTCCCCCCCCCAAAATTTCCCCACCACTTGCTGACCCGGCCCGTCAGGGTAAGCAGCTGGCGTGCCGGGACACTTTGTTTACTTAGGTTTACCTCCATGCCTGCGGACGCTCGAGGTAAACAAACCATCTCAGACCACCAGCGGCTTATCCTGATGGCCCGGGAGCCAAAGTTTGCTGACTCCTGAATTATAGGGTCACCTTATGAACGGGTTATAAAAATTTTCCATTTTTACTTATCCATCTTAAGGGAGTCGGCTTATAAACAAACCGGCTTATGATCGAGTATATACAGTATTTCATACTACCTTATTTGCCTAAACTAGTGCTATACCTAAAATCTATTCATCACTACAAACTCAAACTTAAATTTATTGGCCACTTACTCTTTTGCTGCTTCAATGTTCTTATTTCATCTTCACTCTTGGGGAAGAAAAAAAAAAGTTATGATACTGTCTGGCATATGGTCTCAAATTGCTGAAGAACGTCAAGACTAGCTATTAAAATTCTAAATAAAGCTGTTTTTGGAGTCCTAATACTTATTAGACAGGTGCTATGCATTCAGAAGAATCTGAATGTTTTCAGATATATCTCAGTGAGGGTACAGCAATAATGTCAAGTCTATCTGAAGATGTGTTGATCTATCACATAGTGGAACAGTACCCCAAAGTAAGTGGGAGTGAGCCCTGTCATTAAGAACATTGTATAGTTTTAATTTTGAAAGCACTAGATAATTAATTTTATGGAAGAATTTTGTTCTGGCGGGGAGATGTACTAAGTAAACTAGCAGAATTTTTTCAATTCTAATTGCTAGGATTTGATCATCATTACGTAGGCTTATCAAAACTATAAAGAAGTTTTTAGAAATCTGTAATGTTTTGCAAATGCCACTATAATTATGAAATGTTATAGCCCCTAATTTCCGTCACACATAAACATTTAGACCATACAAAACCTGCAGACAGGGTCTCTATGAAACATACAATGGAGCCACTGGCAATCTGCTATTTCAGCAGAAGCTGCTTACTTCTGATTACAAACATTTAAAAAGGTGGTCACTATCATCCAACAATGAACTAAAAACAAAACAAACCAACTCTGGAATTCTGCCTAGTTCAAAACGTTAGACAGTAAAACGGTGATCATGCAAATCCACATACAGCAAGATTTTCAGTGGAAAATCTATGAAGTGCACCCATAATCTGTATCAAGTCTCTTCTAAACCAGCTCTGAGCAACACTTCTTTGTTTTATCATTTTCATTTCCTTAGATATTCCCTAATTCTATAAGTAGGTTATATTAGTTTAAGATTTTAATATTTAAATTTTCCAATAATGCCTACTATGATATTTTCTTCATAATGACACTCAGAAGGATACACAAGTGCAAGGTATTATGGTTATCTGGGCATCTCTACACAAATTCTATTTGCACTTGCTTGCTTTTACTGCCTTAGTACAAGAAGATTAAATTTAAACATACCAACTCTTTTATTCTTTTTCTGTGCCTGCTGTGTGGATTATTCAAGTGACTTGTAAGATCAAATATAGTTGGCACAGCATTATCTCGTAAAACTGTTCTGTAAGGACTCTGTAAAGAGAAAGATGTCTAGATCAGAAATTTCCTTTAAAAACGTTCTGTGTCTCAGTACAAAAATTATTAAACATAACAATTTCAAAGCTTAGGCTTACATTTTACCATTTATATTTGGAAGTCTGTCATTTTGAACTTTACGTGGGCATTAAAGCTAGGCTGGTCTGTTTCCAGATAGTTTCACTTTGATTGTTTGATGCTGCAGTGGAATATTTTAACAAAAAAGTGGCACCCATAATCACCACTTATTATATAAAGGTCTCTTAAATCTATTTTTTATCTTTAGATCACACCATCTTCCCCCAATACAATGCTTTTACTTTAACTATTGCACATTTAAAAGCAATTATTCTGAAAGAAAGACCCCACCATGCATCATTAAGAAACCATTTTATGAAGAGGAAATTCTGCTTCTATCATGTTTCCTTCTTCGTTACTTATTTTCACTAGGGACAATTAAACAAATATTCTCTCTCCATGTAAAAGTTCATCTACTCCTGCATCTCAAGTCAGAGTGTCCACTTGTGACATAACTACTTTAAAATATCAGATGGATAATTATGATTTTAATTGCAGAATAAGTAGTAGCAGAAGCCTTCTACATAGTGTTTTCATACAAATGTCTCTGCTAAGAAAAACTTTATGCTCACATTTCCTATATAGAATATATTTCATAGTTTTGCATAAGGCATCAGATGCTCTTTAAGTACGGTATTCTATATAGCGAAAACATAAGCCAGCAAAGCTGATTATATTCTGCTAGCAACTGAATTCAGCTGCTCATTCTCAAATATGTATTATTGCTTAAAAAAATCATCTCAAGCCAAACTAAACTTCATGAAATTCCAATTTTGATTACATATTAGTCCCTAAAATAGTTTTTTCTCGGACGCTGGCTGCTTTGACTCCAAAACGCTGCTCTGCATATTTTTATATTAAGTAACATTATGTGGTTGAAAGACCATGTAAAACATAGGAGTCATGCACATAAAAATCAAGAAATAGTATTCTGCCCACAAATTTAAGTTTGCTGTAAAACCCACGATCCTATTCCCACTGTCATGGGAACAGTTAAGTTGTCACTCCATTAGCTAAAGATACTACATAAAAATAGGAGTGAAACAGTTATCTTCACTTTAAAAATTTCTCTTTGATACGACATCTCTATTTAAAAAAAGTAGAAAAAGACTTCTTGATCCTAAGGTTAATGTTTTAAGCAGGAAAATGAACTTAGGTACATTTTACACAATGTGAAATAGATGTTTAGTTGCCTTTACTTACGCTTCTACATATCATAGAGGTCTCAAAGTGTTTGGCACATAATCTGTAGTGCTTGTTCAGCTGATCTGGAGTTTTATCTTCTAAATCTGCCCTTCGACAGTTCTCCACCCACCTCTGACATCTGCATGTCAAACACAAACTTTAGTTACTTTAATAGTTTAAGTTTAAACAAAAAAGCCCCCTATAATTTCTAAGACAGTCACCATAAACAACATTTTTTTACATTAATGTTTGAAATAAGCCTTTTTATTCATTTTCAGGTGGGGGGTTGGGAGCTTATAGTCAAATTACAAGGAAAAAGGGGCGGGGGGGCACACCCAAACATGTTCCTGTTTGAACCATTTAAAAATTTTGCTTTTCTCTTTTTACTCAGTTTAACGCAACCTCAGATGCTTAAATATTTCAAACTTTTCCTCTAAGCAACATTTTTCTAATTACACCTCAGAAGCACAATGGTTTGTTGTGCAGTTGTTCATGAGTGAAGACATGCTAACATTTTATTCCTGAAGAAAAACCATTTCCCTCCTCCCTTAATAAATCTGACAAGTTTTAAAAGAGTAGATTTTTTGACACAAAATACAATTTTGAGTATTTTTCTTGTTGGTGATTTCCAAGGGCAAAGCTATACATTTACAATGGATCTTTGAACACTAAAGTAAAAAAATGTCAAGTAGAAGACAGGCAATGCAGAGAATCATCTCAGTTTGAAATAAATCTTCAATAGACATACACTATATATATTATAAAACGTTTGGTTTTGTGCCATCTCAAGAACCTTGCTTACTTTTGTGTCACAGATCATAGGGCTTGAAAGAAGTCTTGCTCTTAATAAGACCCCTTTTAAATCTGGAAGACAGTATTTTCTCTTGTGCATAAGACATGTTAAGGAGCAAATGACATAAACTTATTAGTTGGCTTTCCATTTATCCAACGGATATATTTAATCAAGTCTTTGCCAAGGACATTTTGAGCCAGCACATGCACAAGACTGATGCAAAATTACCTTAATGAAGCTGATCTGCTATTTCATTTGTGCGTGTCCCTCAGAAAAATGTCATTAATCTGTAAGTTTCTGGCAGCTATTATAATATCTTATTATTTTCCAAAAAATTGACTCTACCAACAAATAGAATTCTCTGGAAGGAGTATTATCTGTAGATATATGCTAATTGGTATTACGAAGTCTTCACTATATGACACCACAGAAGCCAATTATCACTACCAGGCAAATTGGTTGAAACTATAGTAAAGAACAGAATTGTCAGGCGCATAGATGAACATAATTTGTTGGGGAAGAGTCAACATGGTTTTTGTAAAGGGAAATCATGCCTTGTCAATCTACTAGAATTCTCTGAGGGGGTCAACAAGCATGTGGATATGGGTGATCCAGTGGATATAGTGTACTTAGATTTTCAGAAGGCCGTTGACAAGGTCCCTCACCAAAGGCTCTTCAGCAAAATAAGATGTCATGGGATAAGAGGGAAGGTCTGCTCATGGATCAGTAACTGCTTAAAATATAGGAAACAAAGGATAGGAATAAATGGTCAGTTTTCAGAATGGAGAGAGATAAATAGTGGTGTCCCCCAGGGGTCTGTACTGGGATCAGTTCTGTTCAACATATTCATAAGTGAACTGGAAAAAGGGGTAAACAGTGAGGTGGCAAAATTTGCAGATGATACAAAACTACTCAACATAATTAAGTCCAAAGCAGATGGCGAAGATACAAAGGGATCTCAAAAAACTGGGTGACTGGACAACAAAATGGCAAATTAAATTCAATGTTAATAAATGCCAAGTAATGCACGTTGGAAAAAATAATCCCAACTATACATATAAAATGATGGGGGTCTAAATTAGCTGTTACCCCACTCAAGAAAGAGATCTTGGAGTCATTGTGGATAGTTCTCTGAAAACACGCACTCAATGTGCAGCAGCAGTCAAAAATCTAACAGAATGTTGGAAATCATTAGGAAAGGGACAGATAAGACGACAGCAACTATCGTATTGCCTCTATATCGAGGTTCTCAATGTTTTGCTTTCTGAGGTTACCCCAACATGCCATAAAAACTCCATGGCCCACCTGTGCCCCAACAACTGGTTTTCTGCATATAAAAGCCAGGGCGGCATTAGGGGGTAGCAAGCCGGGCAATTGCCTGGGGCCCCACGCCACAGGGGCCCCCATGAAGCTACATTGCTCAGGCTTCCGCTTCAACCTGAAGAGGTGGGGGGCTCAGGGACCTGAGCTTCAGCCCCATGCAAAGGGACTTCAGCTTTCTGCCCTGGGCCCCAGCAAGTCTAATGCTGGCCCTGCTTGGAGGCCCTCCTGAAACCCGCTTGAGGCCCCCTAGGGGGCACCAGACCCCTGGTTGAGAACTACTGCTCTATATAAATCCATGGTACGCCCACATCTTGAATACTGCGTGCAGATTTGGTCACCCCATCTCAAAAAAGATGTACTGGAAAAAGTACAGAGAAGGGCAACAAACATTATTAGGGGTATGGAACAGCTTTCATATCAGGAGAGATTAAGAAAACTGGGACTTTTCGGCTTGGAAAAGAGACGACTAAGGGTGGAGATGATAGAGGTCTATAAAATCATGACTGGTGGGGAGAAAGTAAATAAGTGTTATTTACTCCTTCTCGTAACACAAGAACTAGGGGTCACCAAATGAAATTAATAGGCACCATGTTTAAAACAAACAAAAGGAAGTATTTTTTCACACAACGCACAGCCAACCTGTAGAACTCTTTGCCAGAGTATGCTGTATAGGTTAAGACTATAACAGGGTTCAAAAAAAGAACTAAGTAAGTTCCTGGAGGATAGGTCCATCAGTGGCTATTAACCAGTTTAGTCAGGCATGCAAAACCATGCTCTGAAGCAGGGGTGGCCAACCTGTGGCTCTTAGGAAGTTAATATGTGGCTCCTTGTATAGGCGCCAACTCCGGGGCTGGGCTATAGGTGCCAACTTTCCAATGTGCCGGAGGGCGCTCACTGCTCAACCCCTGGCTCTGCCCCAGGCCCTACCCCCATTCCACCCCTTCCCCAAGGCCCCTGCCCCTTCCCCGAGTCTGTCAGGTCCTAGTTCTTCCCCCTTTCCCCCCGCACAGCCTCCTGCATGCCATGAAACAGCTGATCATAGTGGGCAGGAGGCACAGGGAGGGAGGCGAGGTGCTGATCGGCGGGGCTGCTAGCGGGTGGAAGATGCTGGGGGCGGGAAGGGGAGGTGATGGCAGGCTGCAAATGTATTACTGTGGCTCTTTGGCAATATACACTGGTAAATTCTGGCTCCTTCTCAGGCTCAGGTTAGCCACCCCTGCTCTGAAGTTACCTGGCCTCTGTTTGCCAGAAGCTGGGAATGGATCACTCGATGATTACCTGTTCATTCCCTCTGAAGCACCTGGCATTGGCCACTATCGGAAGACAGGATACTGGGCTAAATGGACCACTGGTCTGACCCAGTATGGCCATTCTTATCTTCAGTCTTTGAGATACAATATGATGCCTGAAAACCTACACAACTCCCATACAAGAGTAATGACTGGGTCACTATCATAATCATATAATTAGCTGTTCTATATCCACCAGCTCCCCCTTGACATATGCCCCAACCTAAACAAAGTCAAAGAGGACCACAGATGACTATATAGAATTACAGCATTATGATGGACACTATAGCAGTAACTCAGAAGGAACTCTCATTATAACTCCCATTTTCAGTGACAATTTTACTTCAACTGATCCAACTTCTAGCCACTCCCCAAAAGTTCTAAGCGGAGCTCAAATTTTTCACACTTAGTCTAGAGCTCTTTTTAAAAGTTATTGTTTGTATTCTGGTAGGGCTCCCAGTGGTCATGGGACTGCCCCTCCTACAAACATAGAAGACACATTCCCTTCTCCAAAAAGTTATAGGAAAGGTGTGGAGAGATTTACAAACAAAATATATACACCTCTACTTCGATATAACGCGACCCGATATAACACGAATTCGAATATAACGCGGCAAAGCAGTGTTCCGGGGGGCCGGGGCTGCGCACTCCGATGGATCAAAGCAAGTTCAATGTAATGCGGTTTCACCTATAATGCGGTAAGATTTTTTGGCTCCCAAGGACAGCGTTATATCAAGGTAGAGGTGTACCATTTTACTAAAATTCATTACATCCTACCTCAGTCTATTCACTACTGAAATCCATTCAGCTATTAAAAAAAAAAAAAATCTTCAGTCCACTTTAAAAACAAAACAAAATCCCCTCAGATCCTTGTTTTGCACTTACAATTGACAATTTCAAAAAGTAAATACAGAGTCCTTGTTAAGAAAAGTGTACTTTTTGCAAAATTGGGGGAAGGAGGGGAAAATATTAACAAACATGTTGCAAATAAATGAAGATAACTAATAAAGAAAATGGCATACTGCACAAGCTAAGGATCGCTAGTTCAAAGTGCAATGAAAAATATCCTTATCTCTGCTGACTTCTCTTATCCTCAGGACCCTCCCAGATTCAATCAATTTATCCTTCCACCCTCACTCTACTTTATAAACTACAGAATGAGAGTCCCAAAAGTTTGGCTGTTTGGTGCACGTGAAATGTGAAGTTTCAGTCACTGAGCCTAAAAGACTTTGGTTTATTAGGCTGAATGAGAAAGACAACTAGGCTTGCACTCTTTTTGGACCACAACGTCTGTAGCAGTTTCAAGTTTCATACATGCTGTAGGTGCAACAGACTGGTGACATACCAGTGGAAGGTGTAAAAAATGTGAAAGGAATGTTATGTGCAATCTATGGGGTTATACACTACTTTTAATAAACTGACTTGCAGGAGGTATGGGGGCGAAGAGAAGCAGAATTGGCAGGCTGGCAGATCCTGCAGTCACTGGCTACTTTCACTTCAGCAATAATGTATCCTGTTCCAGTCCTGTATTCAGTCAGAAGAATGATATAGGCTAACTCTGAGGGACCAAAGCAGGAAAAATACAGCAGCAAGAGCCTAGAACTCAAACACCCAGTAACTACACAACAGACCTGTGACAGTGTATCTTCCAAACACCAATTAATTAAAAAAATACTTATTTTAGAAGAATGGAGAAATTTTATACTGATACTTTCAGTAAGTAGCTCATTTATATACCACAGTGGAAACATGGCAAAACCAAACATTTTTGGTAATGCCAGAAAATGCAAAACTTTCTGTCAAGTTCAAAAGAAAGCAATCAGTAACTAAGGGGATGTCTACACTATGAAATTAGGTCAATTTTATAGAAGTCGATTTTTAGAAATCGATTTTATACAGTCGATTGCGTATGTCCCAACTAAGCATATTAAGTCGGTGGAGTGCATCCTCACAACCGTGGCTAGCATCGATTACAAAGCAGTGCACTGTGGGTAGCTATCCCACAGTTCCCGCAGTCTCCGTTGCCCATTGGAATTCTGGGTTAAGCCCCCAGTGCATGATGGGGAAAAACATTGTCACGGGTGGTTTGGGGTACATGTCATCAGTCACCCCTCCCTCCGTGAAAGCAACGGCAGACAATCGTTTTGCGCCTTTTTTCCTGGGTTACCCGTGCAGACGCCATACCACGGCAAGCATGGAGCCCGCTCAGCTCA